TCAATCATCCCCTCGCCTCTCTGAGCAGCAGTTTATTCAACCAAGGACATTGCCTTCAAGTCAACTGTGAAATCAGCTCCTGAAGTCGGGCATCTGGTCTACCAGTTCTCACCTGGCCTCCACCCAGTCAGTGCCTGGCCACCCAGGGGGCCGGTGTACGCACCTCCACTGGCCGCGCCCCTCCCAGGCCCTCCGAACCCAGGCCTTCATTTCCCAATCCGAAGGCGTTCCGGACGCTTAGCTCCCCACCCACTGGTCCCACTTGGCTACTTGGGAGTACGGATGAGGGTGTGGTAGACGGGCTTGACAATGAGGTGGAGGTGCAGGGCGTTCTCCACCAGGTACTCCGAGTTGCGCCGCTGCAGGTCGGCTTGCGCCAGGAAGTCGCCCGCCTCTTCGCTGCTCTGGTGGAAACTGTACGCGTGGCGGACCAGCAGGCGGCCGTGCTGGCGCGCCCCCACCAGCACCGTCTTCTGGAAGCTCACACCCGCCGCATCGCCGCCGCTGCTGGCCGGCGTAACTACAAGCCGCGGCCGTCCGTCCTCGGGGCGTGCAGGGGGCAGCGCAGTGCCCGCAGCGTCTGCATAGACAGGCCGCAGGCTGACCGGCAGCCAGCGCGGCGAGAAGAGCACATTCCACGTTACCCGACGGCCGGAGTCGTGGCCGCTCGGGCCCAGCTGCGTCTGGAAGCTGGTGCTGCGGTCGTCGCGTGCTGGATTGTTGATGACCCACGGGGCGCCCCAGGCGGGCGCGAGGTAGTTGCGGGGCAGGAAGGCGCTGCCGTTGACGTCGAAGAACTTGGCGTAGTGCAGCGGCGAAGCGGCGTGGAACTGGTAGGCCTGTAACAGCAGGTCAGCCACGGCCTCGCCGTAGCGCGCCAGAGCCGCCGAGCGCGCCTGCAGCTGGAACAGCTGTGCGGGCGGGATCATGGGGTAGCGGATGGCGCGCAGCGCCCGCTCAGCCACGCCGGGCGGCGGTCTCACGCGGCCCAGCCACGCCTCCAGTGCGTGGAACAGCTCCAGCTCGTCCTGTAGCACCAGGTCCGAGCGCGGCAGGAGCTGCCCTAGCAGCTCCGGGCTCACCGCGCCCCATTCGGCGCTCCCCGCCACGGCCGACAGGTTCCAGGCCAGGAACTGCAGGCAGCTCTCGCGCAGGGCGTCGTCACCGGTGCTCACCGTATAGTGGTACCAGCCTACCGCCGGACCCGCGCCGCCAGCCAGGTGCGCGCGCATGTAGTCGGCCACGCCCCGCTGCAGGGACGCCACGCGGTACTTGGTGGCCAGCCTGTGCAAGGGGATGGCTTGGGCCAGCAGCACAGTCAGCTCACCACAGTAGAGGTACCTGCCGGAGAGGCACAGAGACGGGGCAGGTTAGGACCAGGCTGCGCTGCACCCACTCAGAGCCACTTTCTGAGCCCAGAGCAAGCATGGCCTTGGGTAGAGCACTTGTGGTCAGGGATGCAAGCAGAGCAGTGGGCCCTAAGGCTTCCCGTCTTTTCCTCTCAAGGACCGTCCCGTGGCAATCCTACTTCACGGCCTCTTCTTTACGTTTCTCGTGCATCTGCTAGGTCCCGAGCTCTAAGCTCGAACCAGACAGACGTGGCTCCTGCCACTGTGGGGTTTACAGCGTGGGTTCAGATCTACATCCTGCCACCTTCTTGCTATAAGTGGGCAAGTCTGCTGAACCTGCGCTACTCATCTCGGAAAGGGGGATAACAGGGCTGTTGTGACAACCGAAGAATGAACGGTACATGCCACAAAGCACGCAGTCAACACCAATTACCTCTCATTCTCCCCTGCCCGCTTCCTGCAGCCCCATCTTTCTTGCTGTCTTTTCCACTCCTTACCGTTCTCGTTCTTGCTCCCTTTGTCTCTGTCTGCAGCCATCCCTCTGCTTGCCCTTCCTGCCAGTCCCATGAGTACTGCACCACACAGGCGTAGGGGCAACTGCCAGATACCTGCCCCAACACCCATGTCTCCACTTTCCTCAGCATTTCAGCCCCACAAATTTGCCTCCAGGAATGCAGGATGTTTCCCAGCTTCTCTATAGTGGATGTGGCCATGTGACTAAATTCTAGCCAATGAGATGTGGAGGGAGGCAGCCTCTGAGACTGGGGGAAGGTTGGTTGGATAAAGGGGACTGGGGTGGAGAGGGCCCTTTGCCCCTCTGTGCTATCCCTCTTCCTATTGCCTGGAACTTGGAAGAGATAACTGGGATTCTGCAGACATCTAGTCTAAGCCGTTGAAACAGGGCTACTTTCTCAGACTACAGTGTGAATGGTGCCCCCTGTGCAGCTCACTGGCTTGAAGCAGGAGATGAGGGAGAGGGCTGGCTCATTTTTGCAGCTTCCTAGCCCTTTGGTTCAAAATCTGGCAGCAATACCACTTGGAGGCTTTAAAATAAAAAATGACTTCTGGGCCCAACCCCAGATCTGAAGCCAACAATCCAGGGCAGGTCCAGGAATCTGTAGTTTTTAAAAGTTCTCAAGGCCAGGTTTGGAAACAGCTCTGAGAGCATTTGGTAGCTGACATCAAACCATACTGAGTTTACAGGCAAGGGCAGGGGAATCACATTGCATTTTGCAAGAGGGCAGTGGGGGAAGGGATGAAGAAGATGGTTTGCATTATCATCCTAATGACCTGCAGGGATGGACAAAGTCCTCTAAGAGACCAGGGCATCCTTGACCCTGTGAGTGGAAAGGGATGAAGCCTTCCCCCAATCCTTCCCCACCTGATGAACTTGTCAAAGACAGCAGTGCAGTCCCTGGGCTCCTGCAGCACCACCTCACTCTGGTTGCTCAGCAGCTCCCGGAACAGCTCACTGTGCAGGCCCAGCAGCAGGCGGTGGGCATGAAAGACTCGGACCTCATCAGTGCCCACAGCCTGCACCCGCAGAACTACATCGCTGGCATTGCCCTGCCGCAGCAGCTCCTGCAAGCGCTGGAACAGCATCTGGGAGTGGTTGATGGAGGTGCCCGTTGACTCCCCACCAACATCAGCTCTCTGAGCTGCAACAGGAGAGAACACAGCACAGCCTGAGAAGGCACCTGGGTCCTGGGCAGTGATCTAGGGGTACAGAAGGACCAGCTGGAGAATCGTGTTCTTGGGTGTGGGCAGGGGGTGGGTGGGCCTGGGGAGGCTGTGTGCATACCTGTTTGTGCCCATGGAGTACAGTGATGCACGTCTGTGCACAAAGCACATTCTGAATTAGGAAGGTCATGAACCTGCCCAAGAGCAGACCCTGAAAAGGTGCTCTTGGAAGGGAGTGGATTCCTGGCAAGGAGAGGTCATAAACTTACGTGGGATGAAATGCCCAGAACTGGCATCCATGGTGCCAGACCTCCACACGAGGGTTGAGAAACCTCTTGGTCCCCACCCCTCTCACCTCCTGAAGAATTGTCCACCTGATCCCTTGGGAAAGTTGTCAAAAGCGGTACATTCACTATCAAATACTTATTGAGCATCTACTATGAGTGAGACACTCTCCTGGTGAGCCCAGAATATGGCAGTGAACAAAACCAGTCAGGTCCTTACACTCATAAAAGCACAAATGTGCTTATTAGACAGGCAATAAGAGATATAAGCATTCTAGTTTTAGATTTTGATAAATAAGGGCAGTGCTAGCAGTGGGGGATGGGGCTACTTTAGGCTCAGGAATCAGGGATGGGTTCCCTGAGGAAGTGATAAGGAGGAGCCGGCCAGAAGATGAGTGTCCAGGCCAAAGCACCAGCCCTGCAAAGGCCCTTAATGAGAATGGGCTTGGAGAGCTGGGAGCAGAGAGAAGGTTAGGGGGCCCGGGCACTGAGTAGGAGGGGAGGGCAGGGCACGAAAGGAGGCTGTGGGCATGGAGGGGAAGCTGTTTCCAAGCTCCAGCTGCCCTGTTGGGTCCCGGTCTGTGAGACGGAAGTCCACTCTCAGCAGGTGGCTTCTGGGGGACCAGAGAAAGTACAGAGAGCGAGCCAGGACTGGAATGGGACTCTCTCAGTACATGCATATGGAGGCTGGTATTCCCCCTCCAGGCTGGCCACCCTGAGTCCTTCTCTCATGTTTCCAGAGACTCCATGAGGGTCAGATGGGGACATGCACACAGTTACAGGAAATTAAGTGACAGAAAATGCTGCTAGCCACTTCCCCAAACTGAGAACAGTGAGAGGCCTCAGAGAGGGAGTCAGGGTGTCTGACAGCAGCAGATGGGCACCCGCCCCAGCACACCCAGGCCCGTGGCCCATGCAGACTATGGGAGAGCAGGTGCACACGAGAGCAGAGCATCTGCGTGTGAGAGAGGGGCAGAGGGAGAGAGCGAGGCTGAGAGGCGGGTTGGCGCTTCATGCCCAGCCCTACCTCCCAGGCTGTCTCTTTGAGGGGCCTGAATGCTGATGGCATCCCCCTTGCCTCAGCTTGGGACATGCACGGTGGAAAGGTCTTGTCGTTAAGCCCCCCGCCTGCCTTCCCAGCCCTCCTCCCTTCATCCACGGAGCTGTCCTGATCAAATCAACTCTGCACACATCCTGGCCGGCTAGATACCGCCCCCTCCTGGCCGTGTGCAGCTAAGCCTGGAAAGTCCTGCCCCTGCGCCTTGCCCCCCCATCCCCAGCCCCCACTGCCCACTCACCTGCACGAGTAGCCAGGCCCACCAAGGTCAGGATGGCCCAGAAGCTGGCCCAGGACCTAGGCTTGGCATAGCCCAGCCTAAGCATCTTTGTGCCCGCCCCTGAGCCCACTGCAGGGACAGCAAAGCCCAGACCACTCTGCTCACATTCCTCCTCCTTATATAGGATCCAGTGCAAGGGGCCAGCACCCCCCTTCCTGGCCAGCTTCCCTCCCCCCACCCAGCCTCTGCCATGGATTGGTGGAAACAGGCCCCAGCTGTTGCCCAGGCAACCACTTAAGCCAGAGAGTGGCAGCCCGGGGCTATTGTGCTGCCCATGGGCCCCTGAAGGGTACAGATCCGGCACCCTCCCCCACATCTCCTCCCACCCAGCAGAGCTAGTCATTCCTCTCCTGGGAAGTTTTAGGCTCTCCAAAGAGCAGGTAAGGGGCTCCTGTAGCCAAGGGCCCAGAGGGCCCCCAGCCCCAGCCCCGGGCACAGCCTCCATCCTGTCACAGGGCACAATTGCCAGCATCACGGCTGGAGTGCCATGGTGAGCCGGCTGCAAAGGAAGGGTCTGGAAGGAGAGAGGGAAGACGCATCTCAGGCTCCCATCCGCCCCCCTCTCCCATTTTGGGGTGGGCTAGCTCTCCAGATAGGAGGGCAAGGGTCTTGATAGGAGCCCTTGGGGTAAGTGCTATCATTTTCATGATTTTTGTAGAAGCATATTCCTGCATGCTCTGCGGAGGGTGATGGGCCCTTAGGGAGGCTCCACAGGGACTGTGGACATCACGCATCCAGCATCAAGGTGAGCTAAGACAGCAGGGCTGGGCATAGAGCGGCTACACCCGACCCTGTGCACCCCTGCCCAGAGCAGAGAGGCTGGCCCTCAGCCTATCCCCCTGCCCAAATCTGGGCTGGGGAACTAGAGGTGCTGAGGTGGGCACATACCTGCCTACCACTCCCTTCACTTAATTCAACTTCCCAAGTGGCCTCAGGAATCTAGGTTCACCTCCTTGGAAGGCTTCTCTCACCACCTTCCGTCTGACTTCCAGCTGTAATTTTTCCCTTCCCAGGGTTCCAAGGAGACACACAGCAGATCTGGCATCCCACCCCGACCATAGGAGAAACCGAGGCAGAGAATGAGGTGACAGTCTCGGTTGGGTTAGTGCAAAGGAGTGCTCTTCTGAAAACAAAGAGGGTGGGGCCTAGAGCCCATGGAAGTGGGGTTGTGGGTGGGTGGGCCTCACTTTTTCAGAGGACAAGTGGAGCCTGGCCCAGTTCTCGGTGGGGGGGACCCCTTCAAGGTTGATGAGCTGAAGCAGGGGGCTCCCAAGAGATCCATCACAGAGTCTCTCCCCAGGCGAGGTCCTTGACGGGGGAGGGCTGGAGCCTGCCCTCCCTTGCTCTCTGGATCCCAGGGACCAGCTCTATGCATTGATTTCTGCCCCTGGCTGGCACAGAGACAGCCAGCAGTCCCACCCCCTCTCTGGAGCAGGAATTGGGTCTGGCACCTGCCTCGTCCGGGCTGGCAGAGATGGAGCTGTCCAGCCCGGCGGAAACCCCTCCCAGCTGCCCTGACCTTCACGCCTGGCTCCCCTCATCCAGACCCACCATCCCCTGCCCACTGGCCGCCTGCCTGCCCTTCCCAGGGGCTGCACCACGTCCCCGGACTAGCCCAGCAAGACAAAGCCTCAGTGTAATGGGGCTCTGGGCCTCTGAGGGCATCCCAGCTTCCATTCACAGCAATGCTTTTCAAAAGGAATGTTACTGATGACAAAGAGATGATAATAAGAGAACCCGCTACTCAGAAAAATGGTCTGTCGGTAAACAGGATTCCTTGAGGCTGCATCTCTCTTTTTAGAAATGTAACCCACCTGCATTGGAATCTCCTCCGTCTACCAGGGCACCTCCTGGGCGATTGTCATGTACACCCCAAACTAAGATCTACTTAGTAGAATTAGACAGACGTCATTTCAAGTGCGCACGGATCAGGGAGGCCTCGAGTTACAAAGAAGATCCAGGAGGATCACCTCCGACTCCCCGTCTCTGGGAGGCCCCACCTCCTACTATTTTCAATTTCCATTATCCTGAAACTTCTCTAATGATTTAGAAACTGATCCTTCAGAACCAGGCATTCTCTGTTCTCATTCTCTTGGCCCAAGGGTTGCTGGAATGTGCATGCATGCATGTGTGTGTGTGTAGGTGAGCGTGTGTGCATGCAACATGTGTGCATGTGTGTAGCACGTGAAAGCCTTGGAGCAGGAGAGGAGGAGGGCATCTGCCCTTCAAGGTCTTTAAGATGAGGATCTGAGTTGCTCCGCTTTATTTTGCCTGTGGATCTGGAAGCTCCGTAACGCCTTGAAAGCAAGTCTGATGAGCTCACAAGCTAGAACAATTCCCAGAGAGGACTTACTTTCTGCCCTAGTGTTTACAACCTAAGTGGCTTGTCTGAGCTTTCATGAGCAGGAAGGGACAAAGCCAGAATCCAAATACTGCTTTTTTTTTTTTGAGAGGGCATCTCTCATATTTATTGATCAAATGGTTGTTAACAACAATAAAATTCTGTCAAATACTGCTTTTATATTTGACTTTTCTTTCCATGATCCCATGCTATCTTTTCTGGGAAACTATTTCAGTAGCCACATATGATCCCCATTAAGCAAGAAATTTCCAGGACTGTAAAAGCAACTGAAAACCCTTGCAAGCTTGATGCAGAATGAGGTTTCTGACTCTGCAGAGTGGGTGACGGGCCCTGGGCTGTGGTGATGCCCACCGCAGAGATGTGGCCCCCAGACCCAGCGCTGGCCAGACTGCAGACTCCCCTACATCTGGAACCTGTCTCTTCCTGAGCCAGGGTGCCCTCAAACATTTTGATTAGGGAACATGGAGTCCTGACCTTAAGTTCCAGGCCTGTGTACTCAGGGGGCACACTAATAATAAATGAGAATGAATCTGTCCCCGAAGTACCTCCTACACTAGTGAAAGCTCCCCCTGAAGCCAGGGTGTCCCAACACAGTGGCACAGCCACTATCCTGCCTCAGCACCCTCTGTCATGCTGTTCTCCCCACTCAAATGCCCTTCCCATCTAAGTGCTGTCCACCAGTAACCACATTCTCCTCCTCCATAAAGCCTGAGCTCACAGTGGCCTCTCCCTTTCTGACCACCTGGTCTCTGGAGACAGTTGTGTGACAAGGCTCTGGGGAAAGAACAAATTCTAACTGCCATGTACCAGCTCTGTGGCTTTAGCTTCACTTAAGCTGCTGAACTTCTCTGAGCCTCAGTCCCCTCTTTTGTGAATGCTGGTAACCAGAGTTAGCTGGCGGAGCTGCAGTGAGGGTGACACACGTGGGGACAGGGTGGGTGCTCAGGTAATGTTGGCCCGCACAAATGGCTGGCCTCTTCAACTCAACTGTAAGTGGCATCTTGCTCACCCACAGCCCGTAGCACAGGGAGGTGGTAGCCTGGTTATGTTACTTGCACTTTCTGGGGCTGAGATTCTATGACATGGCCACCAGGGGGCAGCATGGCCCCAGTGAGTGCCTGGGGTGCGCGTGCGGGTCGGGGTGGGGTCAAAGCAGCTCTAACCCCAGGTGTGGGATCCACCTTAAGGGGCCCAGAAGCCGACTCTGCTAAGTTCCCAGAGGGTGGGTGTGGGAAGCGATTCCACACTGGGGCTCAGCTCTCCTTCCGGAATCTATCCACACATTGTCCCAGGTGTCCCCTGTGGCTTCACCGGTCACCTTACCCCGATGGGAGCCGGGGAGCCAGCCAGGCATAGATTCCAGCCTCTCCAGAGTGCTTGGCGCGCCGGCTGGTGTTTATTTGCCAGTGACTGATATTCCTGGAGGGATGGTCCATTTCACCAGGGCCAGGAAAACAACAGCTTGCAGGGGGGCCACTGGGTCTCGGTTTCCCAGCATTGCTGGCAGCCTGGTCAGGCCTCTCCCGGTGGCCACCACGGCTGTGAAGCTTCCGGGCCTGCCGCCCCTTGGGTAGCCTCCTCCTCATCCCATCACCCAGAGCAGCTGCAAGACGGACTCTTTCAAACGTGGCCCAGGAGGCCTATCAGATCTGGGCCCTGACCGTGGGGCCTCACCTCTCCCTACCGGTCACTGTCTTCCCCCACCCACCTCGGCAGCCCTTCCCTTGTCTCTCCGATGCCATAGTCAGTTCCCCAAATTCTTCTGCCTTTCCCCCAAATACTCACTCCTCCCCAAAGTCTCCCTCCAGCCTGCCGCCTTCCCTGCCTGTGCACCCAGGGGTCCCGTTTACTCCAGGCATCATCTGCCGCATAGACTCATTCCCCTGAGCCCTGCCCCACCCTTTCCGCCCTCCTCCCTTCTCCCTCGTTCCACCTCCTTCCTCCCCGACCCGCTCACTGCTGCTGAAGGACTCAGGCAAACCACGGCTCCAAGAGCTGGCGAGCCGGGAGGGAGCCGCCAGGACCCCCAGAGAAAGCCACCAAGTGACCCAGGAGCATGACACTTGAGGGGCAAGAGACAGGTAAAGTGCCCAGAACTGGGTGGGAGGGGCAACCAGGGTGGAGGCGGGTGAGGAGCCCTGGGGCTGGGGTGAGTGGGGTTGTGTGATGGGGAACCTAGGTTAAGCAGGGGGCTGAGGGGTAGGGTGAGTGAGGCTTCAACAGCAAATCAAAAGCTGGAAAGTAAAACCTAAAATCCTGAAGTGTGGGCTGACAGACAAGGGCCAGAGCATGTGGCCAGTCCCTGTCGCGGGCTGCCAAAAGCCAGCTGTGTGATCCTGGGCCGGTCACATTCCTCCTCTGGACTCAGTTTCCCCCATCTAAAAACCAGGGCCATTCCAGCTCTGAGAGTGCTGACCTACGAAGAGGGGTGGTCTTTGTAGGAAAGAGGGGAACCCCTAAAGAGGGGATGGCTTGCTGAGCACAGCCAGGCAGCTGCTATGAGTCACGGTGGATCACACCAGTCACCTTGACTGGACCGAGGCCCAGGAATCTGTATTTTCACAAGCGCCCTCCCTGGCAGGGCCACCAGCCCATTTTAGGGCCCTGCTTTCCAGGCTGAAGGTCCACCAGCAGCAGCGCAATTGAGAGCTATAGTCTCCATGGCTGCACGAAATGCCACTCGTGACTTCTTCCCGTGGATGGGTGGCCAGGCCACCGAGGGCTGGGGAGGGATGGGGTGTGCTTGGCCATGGGGACTGCCTTTTGGCCAGGCCTAGCCAAGGGGTCTGCACAGAACAGGGGTGAATAAAGAGCTCAGGGCCAGAGTCAGGGTGGGGCTGCTGTGGGAACAGGCTGGAAAGAGACTGCATACTCTCACCCCACCCTTCTACCCTTTCTAGCTGACCAGCCACGAGTGACCCTGCTGCCCACACCCAATGGCAGTGGGCTGAGCCAGGAGTTTGAAGGCCATTGGCCAGAGATCCCAGAGAGGTCCCCGTGTGTGGCTGGTGTCATTCCTGTCATCTACTACAGCATCCTGCTGGGCCTGGGGCTGCCTGGTGAGCAGGGGAACTGGAGTCTGGGGTCTTAGGGTCAGCCAGAAATTGGGATCCTCCTTCTCTGGGTGCCAATCCTCTCTGCTGACCCCTGAGACCCAGATCAGAGACACTGGGGCTCCCCTTGCCTTTAGGGGAGGGTGACCTGGGTTACTGGGGAGCAAACCACAGTAGGGAGTGGGTGAGGGGCCAGGATTCGGGGTGCTCAATAGCTAAATCCAAGACTCCACCAGAGCAGAGCCCCACTTCCACTCCCACACTGGGCAGCCTCGTGGATGACTAAGTTCAGGCAGGCCTGCCCTCTGCTCAGGTGAAAGCTTCCTGCACCACCCACTGCTTCAGAGAGCAGAGCTGGGGGTTGGGGTACAGGGCAGGGCAAGGGGTCCAGCTTTGAGGAATTACCCATCCCTGTGTGTCACCAGGGAAGCCCGCGTGTAAGACAGACCCCTCACCCCAGAGCCAAGTCAGTGGCCTCTGGTGTGTGGAGAGACAGGGCAGGGCTGATCTGACTAGGCTTCCTGACAGTGTGAGTTCTAAGAAAGGTCTAGAAAGAGGAAAAGAGAGGCCAGAATAAGCAGGGGGGAGGGACGATGACAACACCTTGAACAGCGAAGCCTGAGCAGCCCTTCTAATGCCTCTGACCTCTCCCCTCTGCAACCTTGGTCACCATCAGTCAACCTCCTGACCACAGCGGCCCTGGCCCGCCTTGCCTCCAGGACCAGGAAGCCCTCCTACTACTACCTTCTGGCGCACACGGCCTCAGACATTGTCACCCAAGTGGTCATCGTGTTCGTGGGCTTCCTTCTGCAGGGAGCCGTGCTAGCCCGAGAGGTGCCCCAGGCTGTGGTACGCACAGCCAACATCCTGGAGTTTGCGGCCAACCATGCATCAGTCTGGATCGCTGTCCTGCTCACCGTCGACAGGTACAGTGCCCTGTGCCACCCTCTGCACCATCGGGCTGCCTCGTCCCCAGGCCGGACCCGCCGGGCCATCGCCTTTGTCCTCGGAGCTGCCCTGCTGACTGGCATCCCCTTCTACTGGTGGCTGGACGTGTGGAGGGACGCCAGCCCCCCCAGCACACTGGACGAGGTCCTCAAGTGGGCTCACTGCCTCACCGTCTATTTCATCCCTTGTGGTGTTTTCCTGGTCACCAACTCAGCCATCATCTGCCAGTTACAGAGGAGGGGCCGGGGTGGGCTGCGACCCCAGGTGGGCAAGAGCACAGCCATCCTCCTGGGCATCACCACCCTCTTCGCTCTCCTTTGGGCACCCCGGATCTTTGTCATGCTTTACCACCTGTACGTGGCCCCCGTCCACCGGGACTGGAGGGTTCACCTGGCCTTGGATTTGGCCAACATGGCGGCCATGCTCAACACAGCAATCAACTTTGGCCTCTACTGCTTTGTCAGCAGGACTTTCCGGGCTACTGTCCGAGAGGTCATCCATCATGTCCACCTGCCCTGTGCCCTGGGTTCACAGCCCAAGGGCATGGTTGTCGAGCCCATGCTGAAGCCTCCAGGACTCGGCAAAGGGGCAGAATTGTAGAGGAGGGGCCCAGCCAAGGTGCTTGGGTGACTCAGGACCAGATGGACTGGGACCTTGGTGGTTGTACCCACAAACTTTATCAGCACTCTACTTTGCACTTGAGGAAGGAGAGGCTCCTTCCTTTGGGGCTGGCTCCCCAGGGCGAGGAGGACAAATGAGCCAACTCTTACATAAGTTGCACCAACAATGCCCATTTCCTGGAACAAGGAAAGGGCTCTGCCAGGCACAGGCTAATAAAGTCAGGAATCCTTCACCTGGCACATTATGAAGTCACATTAATGTTGGTTAAATGAAGGAATGAATGAAAAGATTGGTGGATGAATTATTTCTAGTCCACCCCTTCTCTGGAGCCCACCTCTCATTTCCTGAGTTGATCATTTCTCTGGCTTCCAGCGGCAATGCCAGGATGAAAAGGAAAATACCTTCAGGAATCCGGGCATTTCCTGGGCTGGGGAAACCAAATGTGCTGGGCCAAGCAATGGGAGGGGGCTGCTTGGGCAAGGAGGTCATCTTAGAAAGCAGATTTGGTGCCCTAACTCTGGGATGCACAACCCTTTGGGGCTCAAACATCCAGGTTAGAGTCCACTTAACTCCCTATTGTAGTCAGAACAGGGTCGGGTCAGGGCCTCTGGACAGCCCCAGACCTGCAGCTTTCATTGTTGCTGAGGATAAGAAAGAAAATACCTTCTCAGCCCAGGGACCAGGAGTGCTGGAGGGATGACTTGGCCAGTCCCTCTGAGCCCACTCCACTAGGAGCCCACCACCACAGGAGGAAGGAAACGGCTGGCAGCCAGGACCCTCCTAGACTCCCCAGGCCCCCCTCTCTCCTTTCAGCAATGATGCCAGCCGGGAGAGGCAGCTAGGAGAGATTAGCAGATGGACCTCCCACCTGCTCTGTGCACTGAGTAAACACATTAGCCGCTGCTACCAGGCTGGGCCTGCCTTCTGCTTCCTGGTCAGGCTGAGCTGATCTTTCCCTTGAATGGGAGGTGCAGGCCAGCCCCCACCAGCACCTGGCCCCTTCATGGACCAGCACAGGCAACAGGGCCAGGAGTATATTGGACACACGGAGAATGCAAATAAGTGCTTGGCTTTCCCCCTCTCCTTTACTGCTTCCCAGAGCAGGGATGTTGGGGAAGGGACTTTCAGCCAAAAGAAGAAAGGCAGATCCCCGATTCTTTATCCACAATTCTAAACTCCTAATTTTAAGCTCTGAAAGCCAAAACATTTTCCCCAGGTTTCCCACAAACACGTTTAGTGGTAAAACCCTACCTGAACTGATTTGAGACAATTCGTGTGTCCACACAGTCCTGCTGCAGACTCTCAGCCCCACACCCGACTCAAGTCCAGACCTAATGACTTCACTCTGAGAAGTTCTGAATTCTGAGACACATCCGGTCCCAAGAGTTTAGAGAAAGGATTGAGGACCCAAATGTTGCATCATTTCTGCCACCATGTGGTCCCCCTGGCCCTGAGTGGGCTTGGGGCATGGAGGGTTCCCCCAAGCACACACTGGTGTGTCTGTGGGCAGAGTTGAGACACCAGGGCTGCATTCCTTGCTTAAGGAGGAGGGGGTAAGTGCAAGAACCCTGGGGCAGGGGGCCCTGGAGGATAGGATGATGCCTTCCCCAGCCCCAGCCCTCCTGCACAGCACAAACAGTCTTGGGCAGAAAGGTGCCTTTGTAATGCAGAATTAAATGGGACATTGTTGGGGGGTGACCTTGTCCAACTGTGTATGAAACCGGCAGGGCCCTGCAGGGGCACCACCCAGTATCAGAAAAGAGTGTCATCTGTGGAAGGTACCTGCAGCTGGGGCAGGACTAGGGATGGGATGCCTCTTTCAACTGGCAGGTGGGCTGTCCTTGAGGAGACAGATTCACTCGCCTGTCCCTGGGCACAGGTGGAACCAGGAACTTCCAGAAAGGATGGGGAGGCTCCCTGGAGGCAGGTAGAATATTGTACAGGTGGGGGCATTGAGCCACCAGAACCCAGCTACTGATATTAGTAACATGACCTCACATGTACCCACAGGCTGGCACACATCAGTGTCTCCAAACAACCCTATATCCTGAGGACTGTAACCAATTCACAGGCTGATGGAAAGGGGCCCACAGAGGTTAAATGATATGCATGTGGCCCTCAGCTGGTCAAGAGCAACACAGAAACTCAAACCCACATTGGCGGGCTCCTGGTCCATTCCCCATTCCACCCATCACCTCTCAGGTGCTCTCAGGTACTCACAGGTGCTCTCAGGTGCTCGCAGGTGCAGAAGATTAGAAGAAGTGTCGCTTCAGCGATGCTTTGCCTCACTTAACATTTTGGTCCTGGACTTACTGTGTTTGGGAACCAATATCATGCATTGGGTAGCAGTTGCTTCTTAACATTTTGCTACCCAAATGAGAGATCATCACTTTGATAAGCATGTTACTGAAATATAAATGAAAACTGTTATTTACACTGCCCATTTGCCACATGCATCTTTATCGTTAATTTCCCAGCAGCTCCTAGAGGAGGAGGAGCCTGCAGTGGTGTGTTTCCCCTGCTTTCCTCTGACCCATCTGCTGAAATAGCTTGGCTACCGGAAATGCTTTTTGAAATTCTGAGTTTCTTCCTTATAGCCTTGCCCCCATGTATCGTCCAGTTTGTCAGCTGATCTTATGTTCTCTCATCCTCCCAAACCTGTATATGATTTTTGCTGGCTTGGAGGTTGGCTAACAAATGGTTTTCTGGTCTCTGTACCCACGCCTATTTGTTTGTTAGAGCTGCCAAAGCAAAATGCCACAGGCTGTGTGTCTTCGACCACAGAAATGTATTTCCTCACAGTTCTGGAGGCTGGAAGTCCAAGAACAAGATGTGGGCAAGGTCGGCTTCTCCGAGGCCCCTCTCCCTGGCATGCACATGGCTGCCTTCTCACAGTGGCTTCGCATGACCGTTCCTCTGGGCACGTGCATCCCTGGTGTCTCTCTGTGTGTCCTTATCTCCTCTTCTACTAAGGACACCAGTCAGACTGGATTAGTGCTTACTTACCCTAACTGACCCCACTTTAACTTAATGACCTCTTTAAATTCACGTTCATAAGAGTGGGGTGGAGGGGGCCAGTTCTGCCCAGACACTGGTTATTTTAAAGATCGATGTCAGTTTGGCCGCATGTGCAGTTTAACTTTGCTCTTAACTTTCTGTGAAGTGTCCCCCCACGTTTCTCTTCTTTCTGGTTGGCGTAGCAGGATTCAGTGTGAGTCTACTATCTTTAAACGTGAGCTCTCTCCTTTCTTCCTGGACGCTGGGAAGATCTTGCTGTTTTTTATTAAACTGTGAGGAAGAGGTATCTGAGAATGAGCGTCTGTCTTTAGGAAGTTTCCCGGAATCTTTTAAATTCCACACCAAGAGTATCTTTCAGTTCAGAAAACTTAATTCTTATTTCCTTAATCACGACTGGGTTGCTGGCCCCTTTCGCCTCTGCCTTTCTCACTTGCTCTTCGGCAGGGAATACACACGTTGTTTGCCGGGTTTCCTGGGCTCCCTCCCAGCGCCCTCCAGTCTGCGCCGGGCTGGCACGCTGGCAGGACGTCCAGCGTTGCCGAACACCCCTGCTCTCTGCCCCATTCATCCCCAGCTCACTCGAGTTCTCCCCTTGAGGGACTCTTCTGCTCTTTCCCTTTTTTCTTTTTGTCCATAAACAACGGCAGCCGGTTGGGTAAAAGGGTCCACAGCTGCCTACCTCCTCCCAGGGTGGCGGCGGGAGGGTGCCTGACGCGCAAGCAGGGGAGAAACTTCTGGAAGATGTCCTGTTTTCAGCAACTGCGCCCAGGGGCGGGGTTCCCCAGAGCAGGACTCTACCTGCTGAGCTCAGCACTGAGCCCTTTGGCCCGCCAGGTTCTAGGCGCGCGGGCAGGAACGACAGGGACGGGAGCTGGGGTGGGAGTCTTGGACGCGGGAGCGTCCCGGGCATCTTGGCTCCCCGCCCCGCCAGCCGCGCCCTGTCTCCTTGCTGGGGAAGCTTGAGCTGCTCAGAGGGTCTTGCGGCCTGACTCCCTCTTTGGCCTCTTGCTATCGGCTCGGACAGCAGGGGGCGCTGCAGGAC